AGCACTCTATCACTAAAGGGTACAGCTCACAATGAGGACCTGACAGTTAACAACATCTAAGCAGCAAACATAACATTAACGGGCATAAAGCAAGAACCATAGGCCATATATGGAGAAACAGAATCATATTATTAGGAGACTTTAACTGCTCTCCAGACGTGACAGATCAAGCGGACTTTAAAAAAGTAAAAGTAGAGAAAACGTAACATAATTAATATGGTAGATCTAATATATCGAACTCTGCAACCTGAGAAGAGAGCACAACCTTCTTTTTGCTGCCAAAAGAACAGTCACAGGAAATGATCACATACTGAACTACAAAGTAAACATCAATAAATTAAATAATTATTCTGATAGCATTCTCTGATCACAATGCAACAGAACATAAAGAAAATTAGAGCTATAAAATTGTAGCCGTAAATACTGAAATAAAAAATTAATTAAAAATACTGAAATAAACAACAAAGCAGAAAAGAAAGTATTCTAGCCAAAAAAAAAAAAAAAAAAAAAAAACAACAAAATAACAAAATAAACCCAAGGAGATTAGGAGGACTTAATAAAGTCAAAGTAGACATTACTGAACTAGAAAACACGTCATGAAAGTAATAAACGAGTCCAATCATATAAGCCACCATGTAATCTAATCAAGAAAGGGGGGAGGAGAGAACAATATAAAAGAAATAAAGGAGGAAACAGCCACAGAGAAAATTAAGACTGATAAAAGACTATTATCTCAGCTATGCAAGTTGACTTAAAACCTCAATGACTAGGATAATTTCCTAGAGAAATATATCACAATGGGCTCTAGAAGAAACAGAAAATCTATACAGATCAATACCACAGGATAAAGTTGTCAAAGAACAATTGTCCCAAAAAAACACTTTGTTTAAAAGGTTTTATAGGGGGATTCTAACAAATCTTTAAAGAATAGGTAATTCAAAAGATAAATTGGTCTTAGAAAATAATTTTTTCTGAAACAAGCATGACATTGATAAGAAAACCTAACAGACTGCTCATACACACAACATCTGCAGACAAACAGCATGTGGACAGCAATATAATGAACCCAGGAGTTCATCATACTATTTTTTCTACTTCTGTATATGCTTAAAATTTTCCACAATAAAGAGCTAACCTAAACAAATGTTTACTCAAGGAAAACAATGCTGTCTAGATATCATTTTTCACTCATCCAAAGTTTGACAGCAATATGGCGAAAGTGTCGGAAAACAGACACTCTCAAACTTCTAGTGAAAGGATAAACAGAGGACCTCTGTGGAAACCAAGTTGACAGTGTTTATTAAAATTTCAAGTGCACATGTCCTTTGATGTAGTAATCCCTTGTTTAGGAATTTGTCCTATATATACACTCATACATGCATGAAATGCACACAGTAATTCACTGCAGCACTGGTTGCCATAGCAAAGATTTGAAACAACCTACTAGCCCTCAACAGGGAATTGGCTAATAAATTATATAGCACACTCATGTAAACAAATTTCAGAAGCCATAAAAAAGAAAAAAGTTCTTCAGATACAGATATGGAAAGCTCTCTAAGGTATTAAGTTTAAAAAGCAAGGTCCACACAAAAGTATAAGCAGCTGCTGTTGATGCAGAAACAGGGAGAGTAAGTGGGACAAAAGTGAGAAGCTGACTTTTCTGTCCTTTTGTACCTTCTGAATTTGGAAGCACGTGGCTATAATCTCAGACCAAAAAGAAAATCTCCTTTTAAAAAAAGCTCATCCTTTAGAAGGCACTATTGCCATTATAAACTCATAATCCATTTAGACCACTTGCTATTCTTGCTGTGCTTTGCTGTGTGTAAGGCCATATTTCAAGTAAGATTGAGTTCAAGAAACTTTTATTATTTAAAGGGCACAGAGAAAAAAGGCACATGTGAAAGGGGGACAGTACTCTAGATCCAGAAGATCATCTCATTAGTGGTTTTCAATCCTGGTTATGCTTTAGAAACACCTGGGGACCTTCTAAAAATACCAGTATCCTGCACCCCACCCTCAGACCATTTATATTAAAAGTTGGGGTGATGGGGTCCAGGTATGCAAACCACTGATGTAAATGCTTTTCAGCAGTGGTCCTCAACACAAGCTGATTTTGCTCCCCCAGGGGACATGGTGATGTCACAACTGGAGGGGTGGGCGGTGCTACTGGCATCTAGTGGGTACAGGCCAGGGATGCTGCTTTAGTAAAACTCCCACAATGCACAGGACAGCGCCCCCACAACAATGACCTGTCCCAAAATGTCAAGAGTGCTGAGACTGAGAAATTCTTCTTTAAAATAAAATCACTGCTTCTGAAGTAACAACCAGCTTTAGTCTTCACTCTTAAACAGGAAAGATACACTAGTATACCAAAGCTATTTCTGTGGCCATAGAAACGATATATTTGTTTGACGTGGTTCTAACAAATACTGAAGCATAAAATTCCACATATGCCCTTTCTCTGCTCCCTGTCCAGTTAGTTACTCAAGTCAAAAATTTATGTCCCATTTGTAAAGTAGCCATGGAGAAAGTCATAAAATTCACCAAGTGACAGCCTGGGGGTCAACATGGCCCATGCATCTATTTTGTTTGAGCCACAGGCCTTTTAAAATATATCGAATTGGTGCCAATCAGCTGCCCCTTCTGGAACCAGCATATACCTGGGAGTATGCCACGGTCCCCGTCTGGTCCTTTAAGCATCTGAGGTGCCCCCCGCCCCGCTGCAGTTTTCTCCAATCATACATGGGCAGAAATCCTCTTTATTCTTCTTCCCCCTCACCTTAAAAATATCCCCACACCCATTCTCAAACTTCCACATCACTTCTCAAAATGGAACTTCTATCAGGAGCTAGAAGAACTAAGAGAAAGGTACTAGTTGAGATGGCCTTTGTGAGACAACTCTTTTCTTCTAGTTGTCATTAAAGGTAAACCGTCTGCCACCTGATTCATCTCTGAGTATTACAAACTAGACTTTTAGTTTCTAACAAATTCCACTACAATTATATATGGCTCTTCTGTGAGCTTCCTTATAAGGAAAAGATTTCAATTATTAGGCTTCTTCCGTGATCCTAGATTAGTGTATCCCTCCAACCTCCCAAAACAGGTCAGAAGACTTTTATGGGAAATATCTAGCAAAAGATTTGGTAATTTTCTTTTCAAAAGCTCATCCCTTTTCCTTTGAAATTGCAATGACAGACTTTTGGAGCTGTGCTTTAGGGATTACCTGATATAATCCACATATTTTATTAATGAGGAGAGTGACCCCTAGTGAGGTTAGTCACTTAGCCAAGGCCACACTCTTGAGTTAGTGGCAGAGCAAGAATTAGAACAGTTGTTTCCAGATACTGGTCCCATGGGTCTTCCATGATAACACTATCCCCCACTGTGGTTTTCCTACTCAAATAACATCCTTGTCGAGACATCTATTAACATGGGTATATGCTAGCTGCTATAGAAATAAATCAAGCGAAACCTCGCCAAGCTGTTAGAGCTCTCGCTTCAACTTTGAGGGTGGAAGGGAGGAATTCGAAGTTTCTGGGTTCCTTTTGTTCCCTTTATTGTGACTTAACCTGACTCAGTTTACCCTAATGAAAGGTTGATACCTTCAGAATCCTCTCTAAACCATAAATTAGAGATGGCAAACGCACTATTTATAGATACCATGACATTTTCTTTCTAAACTCCGAAGTCAGGAGCTACCTTAAACCTTTAAAATTCCCACAAGTGGCCAGAGATAGTAAACAGAAAGCTTTGGATAGTGAAGTTTAAGATGCAAAGATCACCACCTCATTGAACTTTGACTTTCCTTATCATCCTCTGGCAAACTGGTTTCTTAAAATTTAATTTGTTCTCAACTTTAACCTACTCTCTCCCTATCCCAACTTAGATATGGACAACATCACATTTTGCATGTCAGTCTTCCCCAGGTGTTTGCTCTCCCTACTCCGCAGTTTAGTTTTCATGCCCATCGGACACCATACCTTGACATTTACATAAAATTCACTGAATGAACAGATGTGAATAATGGATTATTTTCCCTTGAGACCTTAGAACATCTTTGTTGCTCCATTTTATTTGTCTTCAAGGATGCTGAGTTCCATTGTGGTATCTGGGTGAGCATTTTTGGTTTCTTTCAGGTGTTTCACAACCAGCTCCCTCGCGTTCAGCAATTAGGAGTACTCGCTCGGCGGTTGGAAAGACACTACTCTGGGGAAACACGATCCAATTAACATAAGGTGGTGGAATCTATTCCCATCTCAGCTAGGCCTCAGGTAGGCTGGGGGTCGGGTACGCCGCGCTCCCACCTCAATCCGTGGAAGCTGCCTATCAGCCCACCTGATGCGGGAGAAGGTGGGTGGGACACCAACGGAGAGGCGCGACAGAAGGTGCTGGCAGAGAGGCCAG